TGATGAGATTTTAAGTGAAAATATCAATATATATTTTTTTATTACGTAATGGTGTGTATGTTTATATTATGTATGTTGTTTGTCTCTTAACTGTGATTCTGAAATGTGGTGGGCAAAATTTTGCCCACTCCTGGCCACATGGCTCAACAACTTAATGCATACTTATCATGGGATACCTTTTTTGGCAGTTTCAAAGGGTGAAAGATAAGAATATGTTTAACCTTTCTGGCAATACAACAGGATGTGTTCACATTTTCAAACACCAAATATATATCTTTTGCAAGGAATCAAGTCTGCATGAACCACACGGTACTTGTGATGAACATGCAAACAAACATGCTCTTATATTCTTGGTTCTTTCGGTAAAGTCACGTAGAAGGGAAACAATAAAATATATATTTTTTATCATTTTATATATTATTTTATTGTTCCCCTTCTACGTGACTTTACCGAAAGAACCAAGAATATGAATCCCTGCAGTCACGAAAGCTTTAAATCAAAACATGCTCTTATTATATATGGCATTGTCTTTAAAACTGATTGGCCTACAACAGACACAAGTCTTCTTCATGACCTAGTCTCACAAGTGTCAGACCAGAGAACGCTAAAACGCGAACAGTACCTCTTCCCATTAATGAATGATGTATAATGAACTTCTTTCGCACCGTACGTAGCCAACCGTGGCTAATGGTAGATGCATGTATAAATACAATACAAATATGCATCAAAATAGATAGCCGAGATTATTCATAACCCTGACTCTGCATACATTTACGATAAATACGAAAGACATCATAGTACGGGTAAATGTATTCAGATACAATCGAAAAGATAGAGGAGAGTTGAATGGAATAACAATTTAATCCCACAAGATATGAAGAGAGATAAAATCGAGATAAAAGCAACACAATAGATTCATCATTGATAGAACGGAAACGCATGCAGAGTGGATGCGGGGACAGAGAGAGGCCAGGGCAGTGCGGCCGACCCGCGCCGGGCCCCCTGGCTGGCCCCCCGTGCTCAAGGTCCCCACCCTCCCCACTTGCCGTGCTTCTCCCCCACTCGGCACCACCCCCCCCACGCGTTGCCTAGATCCTTCCACATTTGTTTAAAGTAATTTCGTTAGCGTCAATAAATTAGTCTGATCGCTGGCAAAGGGCCGTTCTCAACAAGAGGTGTAATCATGCCGGGAGACCGAATCAAATGAACTCGTGAGCCACGTGTGTGGCAGCACTGCTCATACACATCCTTGACACCTCACTCACGCATCCCTGACACACATCACTGACATACCACTAAGACATCACTGACCCATCCCTGACGACATCCCTGACACACATCACTGACATACCACTAAGACATCACTGACCCATCCCTGACGACATCCCTGACACATCTCTCTGGCGTATCCTCGTCCCTCCGACACATTTCTCCACCATGCTCGTTACCCTCCCACGCGTCTTAAGGGACACGGGCGATTGTGCCCTCTGTGCTTTGGGTAAATAGACCAGAGCCGTGAGCTTTTTTCGACGAGATGACTGACTGCGGGCTGCGTGTCCCGTACTTTGCTCTCACGTCAAGATCCCGTGGGCCCCTCGCAGCCATTTCGCCACCTCGTCACTGGCGAACGTCTGCCTAATATCCAGCCGCGTTGCCTGGACACCGCCCGTTTACCGCCAACTCTGTTGAAATAGGGACGATGGTCAGCGAGCGTCCACGTTGTGCGGCCGCACAACAATGTCTCTTGGGCATTTGCAGCGTTGTGCCCAGTAAAATGTGGAACGTTGAGCCAACGTTGCGGTCAAACGGTTCCAACCGCATGCCAAACGTGTACTGGGGTGCGTTAGTGGTCAAATTCACTTTGTTTATTCAGTTTAACCAGGTGAGAACGCAAGAGGCCGTCGAGTGGATCAGCTGTGATCGCGAAGTCTCCTGCGTGGATGCGATCATGCGGATCGATTCCCTGCCGCGTATTTAGTTTACTGATTGTCTCATGCTCCACGGTACTCCCCACTTGTGAGTTACGCAACAGAGTTCATTGCAGAGTAATTGATTCAACAAAAAAATAATGTAACTTTGCCTGTCAGCTGTAACTCAGGTGAAAGAAATTGGTCGACTAGTGGGTCCGAATGCTTTTGGAACTGTTAATAAGTTGTCAATCCTCAATATTTTTTTTCTCCACCATACACGAAATACATTTTTTTCGTGAATCATAACTAATCTAATTCGCGTGGTTTTCTTAACGAGAATAAAAAAAGAGCCATGCCAAACAATTCACTTTTTCTATTTATTTAAATGCACGAGATAGCTGGTGCTCCTTCAAGCGACTATTGCTTCGAAACAAATCAAAGTACTCGCCAGAGTTTCGCGGGCGATCCGTGGTCCGCAGACCCCCCCCCCCCCCCCACGGTTCGTAAACCATTGAGCTCGATGTGAACGCGAGTGCGCTACGGGGACCTGACCGCACTTTCAGGCACCGGGGGCAACTTCGCATTTGGTGCCCTCCTTTTTTGGACCACCCCCCCGCCCCCCTCCCCAGTGGAAATTTCCAGGACCAGAGTGAGCCGCTTGCAGTTAAGCCTGCAGTGACACGGGAGCGGCGACGCAGAGGGCAATGCGCATATATGCAGTGGATTTAATACCTGCTGCTGTCAGCCACACCGCTGCTAATCCACCAAATGCGCTATTCTAGGGGTCGGCAACCTGCGGCTCCAGAGCTGCGTGCGATGGCTTCCACCTCCTTCTTGAGGTTCTTTGGCTGCCCCTTGTACGGGGCAGCCGATTTTGTTTTTTAGAAGAAAAATAAAACCCCTTAAATTTTGTGACGTGACTGAACGTAACGTGACTTAACTGAGGGCACCCCAATGGGCTCCCCTCTATCTCCAGTTGTAGCCAACATTTTCATGGATACATTTGAGGCTGATGCCATCCAGACTGCTACTCTGCGCCCAAGCTTATGGACGAGGTACGTGGATGACACTTTTGTCATCTGGCCACATGGCCGGCCTGCTCTAAACCAATTTCTCGACCACATCAATTCCATACACCCAGCCATCAGATATTTACCATGGAAGTCGAAAAAGATGGCAAGCTACCTTTTTTGGATGTCCTAATAAAAAAGAGACCTGATGGTTCAATGAGCCACTCTGTCTACAGGAAAGTTACCCATACAGATGCTTAACTGAAACCGGATTCCCACCACCATCCATCCCAGAAGAATTCCCTCATCAAGACTCTGCACCATAGAGCCCAATGCATATCCGACCAGGAAGACATAGCCAGTGAACTCAAGCACGTACACCAAGCTCTTAAGGCTAATGGTTATTCCGACTACACAATCCGCAAAGCTATCACTCCAACCATGGAGAAGGACCCTCTTGAGGAGCCATTCAAAACCATCACTTTATCCTACATTGCGGGCATCACAAAAAATATCTCCAAAATCTTGAATTAACACAAGATCCAGGTCCAATTCAACACATTACATAAAATTCGTGATCTGGTTCCGTCTGTAAAAGATGTGATTCCGGACATACAGTACCCTGGCGTCTACAAATTAAGTTGCCTCTGTGGTAGTAGTTACATTGGAGAAACCAAACGACATGTCTCGGACCGCATCCGTGAACACAAAGCAGACCTAAAACACGGTAGGACCAACACCTCGGCCGTGGCAGATCACTGTTATAATTCAATAGGCTCACATGACATTGACTTCTCCAAGACAGAGGTTCTCTGCAAGCCATCTGGCTACCATGAGAGATTCGTTCATGAGGCTATCCACGTGCAGTATACAAACACAGAGACAATTTCAACCGAGAAGATGGATTCTGGCTTAGCAATCATTGGAATGATTTGATAAACCATTTCGGGTCTTAATTGATTGATCACGCTTACGGTGGCTTTCAGACCGCATCCATTATTTTCGTCTCCCTCCTCCTCTTTTCCGAACATAGATGGATTCTTTTGATTTAAAGCTTTCGTGACTGCAGGGATTCATATTCTTGGTTCTTTCGGTAAAGTCACGTAGAAGGGAAACAATATGTTTTTTATTTTTATTATTTTATTGTTTCCCTTCTACGAGACTTCATCGAAAGAACCAAGAATATAGATGGACACGCCCATCTGAATAACTGCCAAATCGCTCTCCGTGGTGCTAACGCTAAAAAAATCCCGCCACTTTTTTCAAATTTTTCTTGCTGTGGTTTTCACACCTGATTATGATTGCTTGTGTTGCAGTCGGAACCTGAGAATTTTAATGTTTTATATTTTTATCATTTTATTGTTTCCCTTCTACGTGACTTTACCGAAAGAACCAAGAATATGAATCTCTGCAGTCACGAAAGCTTTAAATAAAAAAAAGTAAATATAGTGAGCAATTATATTTAATTGATACGGCAGGGAATGAGTCACCATGGAATGTCTTGGTGAAGACAAAATGTACAACAGTCAAAGTGTCGTGTTAAAGAATAACTCTGGGGAAAAACTAAATAAACGCAATTTATTCCATTGCCTATTCTGTTTACTTCAATCAGAATGTGTCGTTGTTGTCATCTGCTGTATACCCGCTGCTGTGTGTTTGTGTCCTCTGCGTGCGATGCGGCTTTCGAACAATTTTAATCAAGGACAAAAGCCCCAACGAAAAAAAAATTACTTTTATTCATTGAAAGGTTGCCGACCATCTGCGCTATTCTATAAGCTCAGCAACGACCCAGTGGGCAAAGCAAGGCTAAAGTTGTGGCAAATGGGCGCGCTGTAATTCATGTGGGGGGGTGGGGCGGGATTTTCCCTGCCCCTGGCTCGTGCCCTGAAACATTGCAGGAGGGAGCGGCTGAAAGGTTCATCGCGAGACGTCACACGGCGGCGGCGGCGGCGGCGGCGTCCTGAGCGGAGCGCTGGCCGACACTGTCCCCCTCCTCTGTACGCGAAATCCCCCTCTCAGATTGGTGCCGCTGGCTCTGGCCGCGAAATGAGCCACGCGTGTGTTGTGAACGCGCTGCCAGGCGCATTCCTGATCCCCTACTTCATGTTCCTGTTCGGAGGGGGCCTGCCCATCTTCTTCATGGAGGTGGCACTGGGGCAGTTCACGTCGGAGGGTGGCATCACCAGCTGGCAGAAACTGTGCCCGCTCTTCACCGGTATGCGCGCCTCTGCGGCGGGGGGTGGGGGGGGGGGCATTTGTTGTTGTGCGTAACTGTGTCTTGTCGCATTGAAATTGCTCCATCCAATGCTCAGAAGCGCAAGACGGTTGTTAACTTGATGATTGCTCTTGGGTTGTGTATTCTTTCACACACTAAACATGTGAATTACAATCTTGATTTGAAGCTCTCGTGACTGCAGGGATCCATGCTCTTTGGTTCTTTCGGTAAAGTCACGTGGTAGGTATAAAATAGAATTAACGTCGTGATTTGTTTTGTTTTATTTAATTTCTAACTACGTGACTTTACCGAAATAACCAAAGAGTATGTGAATTAAAAATAACCAAACATACTTTAATGCTAATGTTGGAGGTCTACTTCTTATGTTGCATGGTCACAGTGACATTTGTAATGTTGTTTGTGTGGGTGTCGAGGTGGTTAGGTCATTCGATAGCCTCTGTGGAAATCTGACGTTTAGTTGCCCTTCCCCGCACCTCCCGATGAGCACGGTAGGCTACGTACGGTGCGAAAGACGTTCAACATACGTACACATACATTGTCGGTGATATTGCACGCAGTCACATTGGGGACTTCTTCATTATCACTTGATAAAGGAGGTGATCGCATCCGCCATGCCCTGTTCTGAAAGGGTTTAGGGCTGACCACTGTGTGTGCTGGGTTAGGGGTCGAATCCTGGAGAGTTCTTGTGTGGGGTCGATCGCAAGCTCCTGGTCTGTGATACGGTGGCGGGGGAGGGGGGGGTTGAGAGCTTCCGAAAGGATCGGTAGCTCCGGGTACATTCCGGCAGGTCTCGGCTAGACAATCACCTTCAAAGCTGGTGCTGACGAACGAGATGAATGCCTTGACACCAGAAGAACACATGCATCTTGCAGTGCAGCTATGGAACGCGTCACTAGCACGTGTAGGCACGCCTGCCTTGACTTTTTCCTCCACAATAAGCAGGCTGGCTCACGTGGCATCCAACTATATATACATAGCATCACATTTTAAAATAGCGCACACTTACTTAACTCAACTAACCGCGCCCCTGATTTTACTCCAACAGTAACTCTGGTCTTGGGTTCCAAAAATCATAACAAACTTGAACTCTCTCCTCGAGTAAACACGCGAACAGGTGCACCCTCGCTCGCAATGCAGAGCTGCTTCAGCGTGAGCGGCGCAGTGGAGGCTGCGCACCAGGCCAGCTGTAATTCAGCACCGCTTCGAGGTCGGCGAGTGGGTTGGTGGCTCGGACAAAATAACTAAAAATGTTGCAAAGCTCCAGTCCCGTGGGGCATCGACGAGGAGCCACAGCCCGAGGCTTTCCAGCAGAACGCAGGTCGGCAAAAATGTGGACTGATATCCGTCCGTCCCTTCTGTTAGGGATCGAGTGTTGCCCCCCTCGCACGCGTAGGGTTTTAGCCCGGTGCTCTTGATTCATCCCACGTGTAGAGACGCTCACTAATTGGCTGAAAACGACTCAATATGTAGAGAACTGCAGAGGAATTGTCGGCGCCGGCTCACCGCCTGGCAGGCTTCCAGCTCCGTCTCTGGTTCCTGCGCAGCGACTGAGAGAGACGTTTTCACGAACTGTGACTGAGAGACGATGTTTTCACGAACTGTGACTGAGAGAGACGTTTTCACGAACTGTGACTGAGAGACGTTTTCACGAACTGTGACTGAGAGACGTTTCACGAACTGTGACTGAGAGAGACGTTTTCACGAACTACGACTGAGAGAGACGTTTTCACGAACTGTGACTGAGAGATACGTTTTCACGAACTGACTGAGAGAAGTTTTCACGAACTGCGACTGAGAGACGTTTCACGAACTGTGACTGAGAGAGACGTTTTCACGAACTGCGACTGAGAGATACGTTTTCACGAACTGTGACTGAGAGAGACGTTTTCACGAACTGTGACTCAGAGACGTTTTCACGAACTACGACTGAGAGAGACGTTTTCACGAACTACGACTGTGAGAGACGTTTTCACGAACTGCGACTGAGAGACGTTTTCACGAACTGTGACTGAGAGACGTTTTCACGAACTACGACTGAGAGATAAGTTTTCACGAACTACGACTGTGAGAGACGTTTTCACGAACTACGACTGTGAGAGACGTTTTCACGAACTGTGACTGAGAGACGACGTTTTCACGAACTACGACTGAGAGAGACGTTTTCACGAACTACGACTGTGAGAGACGTTTTCACGAACTGCGACTGAGAGACGTTTTCACGAACTGTGACTGAGAGACGTTTTCACGAACTACGACTGAGAGATAAGTTTTCACGAACTACGACTGTGAGAGACGTTTTCACGAACTACGACTGTGAGAGACGTTTTCACGAACTGTGACTGAGAGACGACGTTTACACGAACTGCGACTGTGAGAGAGACGTTTTCACGAACTGTGACTGAGAGACGTTTTCACGAACTGTGACTGAGAGATACGTTTTCACGAACTACGACTGTGAGAGACGTTTTCACGAACTGCGACTGTGAGAGACGTTTTCACGAACTGCGACTGTGAGAGACGTTTTCACGAACTGCGACTGTGAGAGACGTTTTCACGAACTGCGACTGTGAGAGACGTTTTCACGAACTGCGACTGTGAGAGACGTTTTCACGAACTACGACTGTGAGAGACGTTTTCACGAACTGTGACTGAGAGACGACGTTTTCACGAACTACGACTGAGAGAGACGTTTTCACGAACTGTGACTGAGAGAGACGTTTTTACGAACTGCGACTGAGAGACGTTTCACGAACTGTGACTGAGAGAGACGTTTTCACGAACTGCGACTGAGAGATACGTTTTCACGAACTGTGACTGAGAGAGACGTTTTCACGAACTGTGACTCAGAGACGTTTTCACGAACTACGACTGAGAGAGACGTTTTCACGAACTACGACTGTGAGAGACGTTTTCACGAACTGCGACTGAGAGACGTTTTCACGAACTGTGACTGAGAGACGTTTTCACGAACTACGACTGAGAGATAAGTTTTCACGAACTACGACTGTGAGAGACGTTTTCACGAACTACGACTGTGAGAGACGTTTTCACGAACTGTGACTGAGAGACGACGTTTTCACGAACTACGACTGAGAGAGACGTTTTCACGAACTACGACTGTGAGAGACGTTTTCACGAACTGCGACTGAGAGACGTTTTCACGAACTGTGACTGAGAGACGTTTTCACGAACTACGACTGAGAGATAAGTTTTCACGAACTACGACTGTGAGAGACGTTTTCACGAACTACGACTGTGAGAGACGTTTTCACGAACTGTGACTGAGAGACGACGTTTACACGAACTGCGACTGTGAGAGAGACGTTTTCACGAACTGTGACTGAGAGACGTTTTCACGAACTGTGACTGAGAGATACGTTTTCACGAACTACGACTGTGAGAGACGTTTTCACGAACTGCGACTGTGAGAGACGTTTTCACGAACTGCGACTGTGAGAGACGTTTTCACGAACTGCGACTGTGAGAGACGTTTTCACGAACTGCGACTGTGAGAGACGTTTTCACGAACTGCGACTGTGAGAGACGTTTTCACGAACTGTGACTGAGAGAGACGTTTTCACGAACTGCGACTGTGAGAGACGTTTTCACGAACTGTGACTGAGAGAGACGACGTTTTCACGAACTGTGACTGAGAGAGACGTTTTCACGAACTACGACTGTGAGAGACGTTTTTACGAACTACGACTGTGAGAGACGTTTTCACGAACTGTGACTGAGAGACGTTTTCACGAACTACGACTGAGAGAGACGTTTTCACGAACTGCGACTGAGAGAGACGTTTTCACGAACTACGACTGAGAGAGACGTTTTCACGAACTGCGACTGTGAGAGAGAGACGTTTTCACGAACTGCGACTGTGAGAGACGTTTTCACGAACTACGACTGAGAGAGACGTTTTCACGAACTGCGACTGAGAGAGACGTTTTCACGAACTACGACTGAGAGAGACGTTTTCACGAACTGTGACTGTGAGAGACGTTTTCACGAACTGTGACTGAGAGACGATGTTTTCACGAACTACGACTGAGAGAGACGTTTTCACGAACTGTGACTGAGAGAGACGTTTTCACGAACTGTGACTGTGAGAGACGTTTTCACGAACTACGACTAAGAGAGACGTTTTCACGAACTACGACTAAGAGAGACGTTTTCACGAACTGTGACTGAGAGAGACGTTTTCACGAACTGCGACTGAGAGACGTTTTCACGACCTGTGACTGAGAGAGACGTTTTCACGAACTGCGACTGAGAGAGACGTTTTCACGAACTACGACTGAGAGAGACGTTTTCACGAACTGCGACGCTCTTATCAACGTCATCTTTTCTAGATTTGAAGCTTTCGTGACTGCAAGGATCCATACTCTTTGGTTCCATTCGGTAAAGTCACGTAGGTAAAACATAAAACAACAAAAATCACGACGTTTCGGCCACAACACAAGTAGCCTTCTTCAGGTGAAGACAATTTCAACCGAGAAGATGGTTTCAAATTAAGCAACCATTGGAAAGATGTTCTAAATCGAACCAAACATTAAACTAATTTTCAATGGTACAGTATATTTTTTTAAGTAGTGGTACCCCAAACTTTCGCAGCTCTTAAAATTCCCTTTTCACACCATCAATATGTAAACTCCCCCTCCCCCCCGCGCCGACCTGCACATGTTCACCCCCTCTACACCGTTCATCATGCTAAGTCCGCCAATTAAATGCTAATTTTTATGCTAATTCCTTTGTCAAGGTACCTTAATTCCTCTCACACAGCTTAAAGTTCGCGGTCTGAGCTTGGCTGTGTTCACTCCAACATTGAGGTAGTTTATATTTTAGTCTTTTATTGGTCTACTATATGGTATTCATTAGATAGTGTAGTGTATACCCAGTTGCTGTTAATAGCTCAGCTTATTGAAGAATATATTGAGTACATTTATTATATTGATGTAATTTAGACTTAGTTTTTCACATCGGTTTACTGTATGATAGTTGGGTAGTGCAGCCCCTTTGGCGTCCATGTACTAGGTGCCTCTGTGGATGTGTAAGCTTTGACTTTAACATGGCTATTTCTGTGACCAGTCACAAGCTAATCCCTCAGTTATTTCAATGCTACATTCTCCTGTTTGATATGTAAACTCCTTTGTCAAGGTGCCTCACTTCTCTCACCCAGCTTAAAAGACGCTACGAATCTTAGCAGCGTTCATTGAAGCTCTGTCGTCCCGACAGTTCTGTTCCTTCACCTGAAGAAGGCTACTTGTGTTGTGGCCGAAACGTCGTGATTTTTGTCGTTTTACTTTTTTACCTACGTGACTTTACCGAATAGAACCAAAGAGTATCAACGTCATCGTTAGATTGCATTTTTGTTTAGCGGGACGGTCTCCGAGGTTTACCGAAACGTGTCGCCAGGCATCTCTCAGTCAATAACTCACTCGGCAGAACATGTGCAGCTGTTACAGCTGGAGAATAGCCCATGCGAGCTGGCGGCGGGGTACACATTTGAATTTTTTACGTATATGTGTGTTCACAAATGATCCGAGGCGCTTTACACAGAATTTAACAATAGTATTTAACAATATGGATGTAGCGGTGGAGATGGGGTGAATGAAATGGATGAGAGGAAGCGATCGGGAAAAAAAATCTGCAATGATTCTTGAATTCGGTTAAGCGAAATTGATGACAGTAAATGATGATGATGATGAATGGATTGAATGAATGGGGTTAATGAGTGATAGCCATACAATGAGAATACGAAGAGGGAATAGTAACGGTGGCGGTTATGAGGGGGAGATTGAAGGGGGGGTCGTGGGGTGAGCTAGGGAACAACGAGTGAGTTTTGAGTGTGGAGGGGAAATTAGTGAGCGTTTGTGTACGCGTCATTTACGCGTTTGCTATATCCGCCCGTGTGTGAGTGAGTGGCTAGGTATGAGTGAGTGTATGTATGAGTATGTGGGTGAGTGTGAATGGGTGGGTGAGTGAATATATGAGTATGTGGGTGAGTGTGAATGGGTGGGTGAGTGTATGTATGAGTATGTGGGTGAGTGTGAGTGTGCGAATGGGTGGGTGACTGTATCTTTGCGATGAGACCTATTTCCATCTCGAGTGAGTGTCCAAACGATTTTTTTTATATATATAAAATGAAGACAACGCGGTGTGGAGCCGGGTGGGTATGGACGCCGTGCTGTGGCGTGTGCTCTGCGGTGTACAGGCATCGGCTACGCGTCCGTGGTCATCGTGTCGCTGCTCAACATTTACTACATCGTCATCCTGGCGTGGGGCCTCTACTACCTGGGATACGCCCTAACGGGAACACTGCCGTGGGCGACCTGCGGGCATGAGTGGAACTCGGACTTGTGCGTGGAGGACGGCCTGCGCAGAAACCTCACGGCGGTCGCGGCCACCAGCAACGCGAGCGGCACTCTCGGGGTCACTTTCACGTCGCCCGTCACGGAGTTCTGGGAGTAGGTCCCCCCCCATGCCCTCCCCAATGCCCCCTTATGCACCTCCCTCCATGCCTCCCCCATGCCCCCTCCAATGCTCCCCCATGCCCCCCCTATGCCCCCCCATGCACCCCCCATGCCCACCCCCATGCCCACCCCCATGATTGAGGTAATAACAATGGGAAAAGGGTATTCATTCTCCAGGGGGTGCCGGGTTAATCGACTCGACTGTTGCTGCTGTATAGCGGGGCTGCATAAGCCAGAGAGAAAGACAGGAATGGGTGGCTGCGTGTTGCTGCCACTGATGATGATGCTGCTGCTGTTGATTGCTTGGATACTGCGGCTGATGTTATTGACGGTGCTAGGTGAGGGGATGATGGCGATGTTGTTGCGAGCCTGTGAGTGATAACTGAACGTGCGCAGTTGACGATCTGCTTTTGGAAACGGCTCGTTCATGAGAAAACGGTGGCTGTGGTCTGGTGTTTGGGGACCGCAGTGGAAACGGTCGCAGTGGATTCCTGCTCCACATTGAGGCAGCCCTCCTCGCCTCTCCGTAGCCCCGAGTCAGTGGTGTGAATTCCACATTCCTATGGTGGGGAAGGGGGGGGAGGAAAAAGGGCCCCGAGTCACTATTAATCTACAACATGTGAAGCACATATTCGTGGTTCTTTCTGTAAAGTCACGTAGATAAAAAAAACAAAAAACCGTTAAAAATTTAAATAATAATCATCTTGACTTAAAGCTTTCGTGACTGCAGGAATTCATATTCTTTGGGTCTTTTGGTAAAGCCACGTAGATTAAAAAAATATGAAATATCACGACGTTTCGATCACAACACAAGCAATCGTCATCAGGTGAAAAAAATATATCGGGAGAGCTGCTGAGGCAAGATGTTATAAAGGTTCGAGATGGGTGTAGCCCAAGGGTATTTTTTCACCTGATGACGATTGCTTGTGTTGCAATCAAAACGTCGTGATTTTTTTATATTATTTTTCTTTTATCTACGTGGCTTTACCGAAAGACCCAAAAAATATGAATATAAAATAATAATACATTGAAAATAATAAAAGCAAAAAAACACAATAAAAAAATTTGTAAAATAAAATGAAAAGACCGCTTGTGTCACTTTTACTATTTAAAATTAATTTTTATTTCAAATTAAAATTTTATTGTGGTATTTTGCTTTTATTATTTTCTATTTATTCTTTTTCTATATTTTATTACTTTTATTGTTTAAATTTTTGTTATTTTTGTTATTTTTTGTTTTCTATCTACGTGAAATTACCGAAAGAACCAAGAATATGAATTCCTGCTGTTACGAAAGTTTAAAGTCAAAATGTGAAGCACACGTAATCTCGCGAGATCGGTCAACCTCGAGCGCTAATCCTCGTGCCCAGTCGGCTCCCAATGATGTACCGATCAACGGGACACACACACTCAGACACAGGCGACGCCTTTGTTTGTCATTGGAAGCGCTCAGACTGCCTGTTCGTAAAAGCTGAGCCCACGGACAGGGATTGGGGCTGCAGGGTTTGACCTCGGCTTCGAGATAATCATTTCCAGTTCAGAAATCTGCATTTGCTGCCGGTTAATCAGTGAGGAGTAGTCAATTGGAAAAAGTACAACCGTAACTCAGTAACACAACCATGTCTACGGTAGTGTGCGTAGTTACGCTTTGGTTTAAACCAGGGGTCGGCAAACTGCGGCTCCGTGCATTGCCCCCTTTGCGAGCAGCTGCTTCGTGAAAAACAAACAGCAAATACACTCTTCAAACGCAACTTAACGCAAAGACAATCAACAGTGCATTAAAAATGACAAGGAATGGGTCACTGTGGAATGTCCTTGATGATGACTAAATGTACGACAGTCAAACTGTCGTGTTAAAGAATAACCAAGGATAACAAAGACGAATTCGGCGCAGTTTATTCCATCACCTGCAGTATTTTGTTTATTTAAGTCAGATTGTGTCACCTGCTGTACACCCGCTTCTCTGTGTTGTATACAAGTGGCTCTGCGTGTGATGCAGCTCTCGGAATATTTTGGTCGAAGACAAAAGCCTCCCCAAAAATGTCTCTTCTTTAAAAAGTTGCCGACCCCTGGTCTCAATGTAAATGTAGAAGCGTCACTACGAACCCCATTAGTGCTGTAGTTCATACTCGCTGCCGGTTTCCCTATGCGGAATCATCGTGGCAAGAGGACCCAATCTGTAAAGTGTCTGCTTCTAAAAAGGTGCTGGTGTGGAGTACCCATCCTATAACGTACCCATCCTATAACGTATCCATCCAATAACGTACCCATCCTATAACGTACCCATCCTATAACGTACCCATCCAATAACGTACACATCCTATAACGTACCCATCCTATAACGTACCCATCCTATAACGTACCCATCCAATAACGTACCCATCCTATAACGTACCCATCCAATAACGTACCCATCCTATAACGTACCCATCCAATAACGTACCCATCCTATAACGTACCCATCCTATAACGTACCCATCCTATAACGTACCCATCCAATAACGTACCCATCCTATAACGTACCCATCCAATAACGTACCCATCCTATAACGTACCCATCCTATAACGTACCCATCCAATAACCTACCCATCCTATAACGTACCCATCCTATAACGTACCCATCCTATAACGTACCCATCCTATAACGTACCCATCCTATAACGTATCCATCCAATAACGTACCCATTCTATAACGTACCCATCCTATAACGTACCCATCCTATAACGTACCCATGCAATAACGTACCCATCCTATAACGTATCCATCCTATAACGTCCCGTTTCCAGCGCTGTGTTACGTCGTGTATGGTACAAGATGTGCTGCAGTTGACCAATTCCTTTCCATTTTGATTTAAAGCTTTCGTGACTGCAGGGATTCATATTCTTGGTTCTTTCGGTAAAGTCACCACGTAGAAGGGAAACAATAAAATAACAAAAATATAAAACAATAAAATTTTCACGACGTTTCGACTGCAACACAAGCAATTGCTGTTTATTTTTTTATATTTTTGTTATTTTATTGTTTCCCTTCTACGTGACTTTACCGAAAGAACCAAGAATACAATTCCTTTCCAGTTGAGATTTTGGTCACGAGGTGGAATGAAGTAATTCAGAAGTGGGATTTAAAATGAAGCCTCAGAAAAAAAACCTCCGATGTTAGCCGGAATACGAGAAACCAGAGTCGCAGCAGTGGCTCTGTTAACAACTGACTTGGAAAACATCTCAACAAATGTTGTTTTGGCTGCGACGCGAACTGCGCGTCACCACGAAGTGACTCGCGGACCTTTGTGGTTTGCTGTGGTGGGACAGACGCAAGGTGCTGGGGCTGTCGAGTGGCATCCAAGAGCTGGGCGCCCTCAAGTGGGACCTCACGCTCTGTCTCTTGGCCGTCTGGGTCATTTGCTTCTTCTGTATCTGGAAGGGAGTCAAGTCCACAGGCAAGGTGTGTGTGTGTGCGCGCGCGCGCGTGCTGTACGCAGAGAGGCGGTGCAGTGGTGAGCGCGTTGCACTGACGAACCCCAACCACCCGAGTTCGATTCCCGCTCACGGCCAACATCAGTGACGATTATCTGAACCGTTAGGTCTGAGTGGGTGAGTGTGAGTGTATGGGTGAGTGTATGATTGAGTCGGTGTGTGGGTAAGTGTGAGTTGGGTGCGATGTGTGAGCATCGCCACTAGGGAGACAAAGGCGGCCGGGCGCGGTGTTGGCCACCCACCCACTCGTGTCCCGTGCCAGCCTTCATAGGTGCTCGCTAGCAGCACTTGTCCCAACAGTCTGCTAAGGCTATATGGGGGATCTTTGCCTTTGTTGGGTGGGTGAGTGTGAGTGTATGAGTGGGTGGGTTAGTGAGTATGAGTCTGTGGGTGGGTGAGTGTATGAGTGGGTGGGTGGGTGCGTGATTGTGAGTGAGTGGGTGAGTGTGAGTGTATAAGTGGGTGATTGTGAGTGGGTGGGTGAGTGGGAGTATATGAGTGGGTGGGTGAGTGTATGAGTGGGTGGGTGAGTGGGAGTATATGAGTGGGTGGGTGAGTGTGAGTGTATAAGTGGGTGGGTGAGTGTATGAATGGGTGGGTGAGTGGGAGTATATGAGTGGGTGAGTGAGTGTGAGTGTATAAGTGGGTGGGTGATTGTGAGTGGGTGGGTGAGTGGGAGTATATGAGTGGGTGGGTGAGTGTGAGTGTATAAGTGGGTGGGTGAGTGTATTAGTGGGCGGGTGAGTTGGAGTATATGAGTGGGTGAGTGTGAGTGTATTAGTGGGTAGGTGAGTGTATGAGTGGGTGGGTGAGTGGGAGTATATGAGTGGGTGAGTGAGTGTGAGTGTATAAGTGGGTGGGTGAGTGTATGAGTGGGTGGGTGAGTGGGAGTATACAAGTGGGTGAGTGAGTGTGAGTGGGTGGGTGAGTGGGAGTATATGAGTGGGTGGGTGAGTGTGAGTGTATAAGTGGGTGGGTGAGTGTATGAATGGGTGGGTGAGTGGGAGTATATGAGTGGGTGAGTGAGTGTGAGTGTATAAGTGAGTGATTGTGAGTGGGTGGGTGAGTGGGAGTATATGAGTGGGTGAGTGAGTGTGAGTGTATTAGTGGGTGGGTGAGTGTATGAGTGGGTGGGTGAGTGAGAGTATATGAGTGGGTGAGTGAGTGTGAGTGTATTAGTGGGTGGGTGAGTGTATGAGTGGGTGGGTGAGTGGGAGTATATGAGTGGGTGAGTGAGTGTGAGTGTATTAGTGGGTGGGTGAGTGTATGAGTGGGTGGGTGAGTGGGAGTATATGAGTGGGTGAGTGAGTGTGAGTGTATAAGTGGGTGGGTGAGTGTATTAGTGGGCGGGTGAGTTGGAGTTTATGAGTGGGTGAGTGTGAGTGTATTAGTGGGTGGGTGAGTGTATGAGTGGGTGGGTGAGTGGGAGTATATGAGTGGGTGAGTGAGTGGGGAGCGGAAGTGTAGCGGTTAGCGCGCTGCGCTACGAACCTGGCGACACGGGTTCGATTCCCGCTCACGGCCAATACCAGTGACGATTATCTTAACCGGTCCCGGGCCTCCCCTAGGTCGACTCAGCCTCAAATGAGTACCTGGTACAGTGTGTAAACATTGCCACTAGGGAGACAAAGGCGGTCGGGCGTGGTGCTGGCCACCCACCCCCTCGTGTACCGTTACCGGCCTTCATAGGTGCTCGCTAACAGCACTTGCCCCTACAGTCTGTTAAGGCTATATGGGGGATCTTTGTCTTTGTCTTTGTATACAAGTGGGTGAGTGAGTGTGAGTGGGTGGGTGAGTGGGAGTATATGAGTGGGTGGGTGAGTGTGAGTGTATAAGTGGGTGGGTGAGTGTATGAATGGGTGGGTGAGTGGGAGTATATGAGTGGGTGAGTGAGTGTGAGTGTATAAGTGGGTGATTGTGAGTGGGTGGGTGAGTGGGAGTATATGAGTGGGTGAGTGAGTGTGAGTGTATTAGTGGGTGGGTGTGAGCAGTCAGGCAAAAACAACCTCTTACCTCCTCGTTGGTGCCGGACCGCAGCGCTGTGGTGAGCAGTGCAGTGGGGGGAGGGCCAATTTAGATTGGCCATTCCCCTCACGGCATTTATAACCACCACAGCGGCCAAATGGGGGCTCTGGATGGGTGCGAGGGGCTGGTAACCCATCCACCTTCAATGAATTACCACTAAACCACGATTTAAAACTTTAATTAAGCTCATGCCGGAGGCCCCGGCGTCTATGACGTCTCCTGGCCAAACCCCATTTGCCGGAGCCAGGAGACTGAATCCTTACCCTCGGGGCTCCTCCAGAAACAACAAAAACCACTTCGGATGGCCACGTGGAATTTTCGAATGCTCACTGCGGAGGAGAGGCTGCCACTCCTCTGCCGGGAGTTGGATCGGTACCGCCCGGATCTCTGTGGTATTCAGGAGGTCCGGTGGACCGGCTCTGGCTCCAGCCACCATGAGGGGTGGACAGTCCTCTACTCAGGGCAGGAGACTGCCAAACAACAGGGTGTGGCTCTTCTACTGGATAAAATAATGAAGGGGGCGTGGGAGTGTGGCGTTGAGGTGTGGGAAGCTGTAAGCCCAAGGCTACTTTGGGGTCGCCTTCCCATCAACTATAGGCGAGGAGTGGTGGTCGTGGTTACTTATGCCCCCACCCCACCGAAGACGAACATCCGTGGTGGGATGCAGGCAAGGCCGATGAGTCAGATGCCTTCTATGACCTCCTGTCACAGGTGCTAGCTCAAGTAGCCCCTCGGAATAAAGTAATTTTGTTGGGTGACTTCAATGCCCGAGTTGGTCATGATGCTAGCACATGGTCTGGAGTGATTGGAAGACACAGACCAGATCAGCTCAATAACAACGGTAGGAGGCTGCTAGATTTTTGTGCAGCCCATGGGCTTGTAATTACAAACACGCTGTTCCGGCATCGGCACATCCACACAACATCATGGATGCATGCTGGGTCCAACGATGAACATCTGCTGGACTATATAGTGATGGAACAGCGGATGTGGGCCCATGTCCTTGACACCAGGACCTACCATGGAGCTGTCATCTGTAAGATGTGCTTGCCATTCTTCCACTCTGGTCGTGTGTGTACACCCAGGACCCTATTCAAATCCATAGCGGCATGGTCTCAGCTAACTGATGAAAGTTGGAAGCGAGAATTTCACCATCGCTTGCAGCTGGGGCGGGACTCGTCCCCCACTTCTCCTGATGTCGAGGGGAAATGGGCGAGGTTTAGAACTGTGGCTCATGCATCTGCAATGGCTGCTCTGGGTACATGGTCCAGACCTCCTCAGAGACCCTGGCTGACAGAGGAGGTGTTCAGGCTGGCAGCGAAAATCGACAGGCCCACTCTCATCATCTACTGCATCCAACGTCAGAGAAGGAGGAGGCTTACCTCACCCTTCGCTCGGAGGTTAGGAGATCCGTGAGGCGCTGCAAGGATTTTTGATGGTCGCGGGTTGCTGAGGAGATGGAGTCTGCCTCAATGGCCCACGATCACAAATCGCTCTTTAATTCCATTCATAAATATAACCTGCAGCGCCACACCTATTACCATCATTAGGGGAAAGAACGGTGATCCAATCTCTGAGCCCCAGGAAGAGGTTTGCAGATTTGCTGAGCATTTCTGTGAGGTCTTGGGGGAGGGTAAACCCCTCAGCCTGGAAAACATCGTGGGGACAAAGTGGGGGTGATCCTGCTGAGGCTGCGGTGCCTTAAATATGGGAAGAATAAGTCACCCCCTGTGAGTGGCTGGCTGAGGTGCCATCTGTTGAGGAAGTACTGAAGGCGATACAGAGTCTGAGACCAGGAAAGGCACCGGGCAGTGATGATCTCCCAAGCGAAATGCTGATGGAGGGTGGCGTTTGTGCACAGACTGCCCTACATGACATCATAACAACAGTCTGGACCACTGGACGGGTTCCGCAGGATTGGAAGAATGCCCTGGTAGTCCTCCTCTTTAAGAAGGGGGACCGCACAGACTGTAACATTTACATAGGCATCTCACTCCTCAGTGTGCCGGGAAAGGTCCTGGCAAGGATTATTCAACATCGCATTGCCAGGCACGCTGAGGAGAGGCTTGCGGAGCCTCAATGCGGTTTCAGGAAAGGGCGGTCCTGCACAGATGCCATATTTTCTGTCAGTCTGCTACAGCAGAGGTGTAGGGAATTCCAATAAGACCTACATCTCTGCTTTACTGACCTGGTCAAGGCCTGCGCTCTGGGTTGTTCTTGACTATTTCGGAGTCCCTGACCCGCTGCTCACGATGATTAAGGACCTTCATGATGGTGAGCGGGCCCAGGTAAAACTACGTTGCTGGGAGTCGGAGCCATTCCCTGTTCAGTTTGGGGTCCGACAGGGATGTCCTCTAGCTCCGACATTATGTAACATCTATTTCGACCACATAGTTCGTGAAGCCTGCAATGGCTGCACTGGACGAATTTTCCATCTGGTACAGATACAATGGGAGGCTGACCGATGCCCAGGTGCAGTCAAGGGATGGCTCCCTATTGCTCAACCATGTTATGTATGCCGATGATCTGGTAATTGCTGCTCACTCAGAGGAGGAGTTGGAGGCGCTGCTGCTGAACCTGGAGCTTGCCACTAAGAGGTGGGGACTTACCATCAGCCCCACCAAAAATAAGCACCTGCCTGGGTATTTTGTGCCATCAGACACTCCACCCCCACAACTCCCAATTGGTGATAGGTTAGTTGTGGAGCGAGTGGAGAGCTTCCCATACCTGGGCAGTGTGCTCATGACTGGCTTCGGTTTGACAGCAGAGGTCTCACCTGAATTAGTCGAGCAGCATTATCTTTCATCGGTTGTGTAACGCTGTGTGGAAGCTACCTGGTCTGTCACTCCGCACGAAGCTTCAGGTCTTCTCGGGCCACAGTCATTCCCTCCCTTCTCTACGCTTGGGAAACGTGGACCCCCCTAATGGAACATCTTCACCGGTTAGAAACATTTAGGCTGGCCTGCCTACGATCCATCTTGGGTTTAACCAGGCTGGATTGTGTGAGGAGCTCACATATCCTTTAAAGATCTGGACAAAGTCCCATCGGTGAGCTCCTCTGGCAGGCAAGGCTCCATTGGCTGGGTCATGTAGCCCGCATGCCCAGCCACCACGTGCCTAAACAGCTTTTGTTCGGCCAGATCGAGGAGCTAAGCGGGCGCGCAGCACGCGCTAGAGAAGAGATGGAGTGATGTGGTACAGGAGGATGTGGAGCTGAGTGGACTTGCCGATGACTGGTACCAGCGGTGTCAAGATTGGCCTCTCTGGAGGAGGCTCGTGAAGGACGCTACTGGGCAGTTGGAGGCAGTCGCCCTCCAACGACAATGGAAGGGGAGGAGAGATTCTCACAACAATGAGCAGAGCGCCGGGTGGCTAAAGCACAGCAAGTTGGCACAGTAGGGGGCACAAGTGGTGCATCAGCCAGTCATCTCAGTCAGTCAACCCGTGGCAACTGGGTCTGCCCCGCGACCTCCTGTCAGCGGGCGTTCGACACTTCACGTGGCCTCAACGTGCATATAGCCTGGCACAAGTGTCGTGGTGACGTCACCGCCACTTAGTGGCGAATGGCGGTTGTTGTTGTTGGGTGTGAGTATATCAGTGTGTGGGTCAATGTGTGAGTGTATACATGGGTGAGTGTGAGCTGGTGAGTGTGAGTGAGTGGGTGAGTGAGTGTATGAGTGGGAGGGTGAGTGTATGTATGAGTGGTGGGTGTGTAAGAATGAGTGTGTTGTGAGCTGCATTGTAGTTGTAGAACACAGTGTGGATGAGACGTAACAGTCTGGTCGTTGATATATGAACCGGCCAACTTGGCCTCGAATGGGTTCATGGCGCAGTGTGTAAATACAACTGCCCTTGGGAGACAAAGGCGGCCGGGTTTGGTTTCCACCCACATCACCCCCGCATGTTGTGACATGGCCTTAATAGGTGCTCAATAACAGCACGCATACGTGCTTGCATCATGATAATCGCTGTGGTCATTTTAATTATCGGAACAGTGTGTGTAGATTGTGCAAGGGGATATTTGTGTTTATGTGCCTATGCCAATGTTTCATGCGTGCGGGCTCAGTGGTGAACACTGCTGTGTGAACCACACAAGTTTTATGTAAGTCAGGTGCCACGGCCAAAGAGACATTTACTCCTGGCACACAACAAATACATTTTAAGCTCAATTCAAACGGCAAGGGTTTGAGTTTGGAGTGAATAGATCGGGTAACCTTAGTCGCAATGCCTTGCCAACTTCGAGCAGCGTGAATCTCTCCGTATCACCGGGGAGGGAAGGTAGCCAGCCCCAATATTCCATAATAGAGGTTTTTTAGGTTAGATCGCGTAAATATATAAATGTGTCGTTAAAACCCGAACCACCCGACACAGCCAACTAGTAAGGGTTGTCACGTAAACAGAACGTGGCCAATTCGTCACTAGTACAGCACTAACCGGTGTGTTGGAGAGCCAAGCCACAAGATTTACAATCTGAGTATGACGTTTTGCCAGTAATTACAACCAGCTTCATCAGGCGACAGCCAGATTTGTGGAGAAGTTTAACTGTTTTGTTCTTTATATAGAGGCGTAGATGTGGTGACCACACTTCTACGCTCTTGAGTCAAGTGGCGGGGGGGTGGGCGGTTACTTTGCGCAAGATCACAGAAGCGTGGTCACCACATCTACGCCTCTATATAAGGAACTAAACAGTAAGACTTCTCCACAAATCTGGCTGTCGCCTGATGAAGCTAGTTGTAATTACTGGCGAAACGTCGTACTCAGATTATAAATGTTGTGGCCTGGCTCTCCAACACACCGGTGTGCTGTACTAGTGACGAATTGGCCACGTTCTGTTTACGTGACAACCCTTACTAGTTGTCTGTGTCGGGTGGTGGTGGGTTTAACGACACATGTACATATTTACGCGATCTAACTCAAAAAACCGCTATTATGCATGATATTGGTCGCAAAAGCCTTTGTGTTAAAGCCCCAATATTGCCTTCGCGACGGCAGCAACTTCGCCAAGAATGTGCCCACTGCGTGCGAGCACACAGCCGCGAGGCGTCCGCAGGCCATCGTGGCGCGGTGAGACTTGGCATGGCGCGGGGTGGTGAGGCCTGGCGTGTGCCGGTGGGGGTGCTGCCAGGTGGTGTACTTCACGGCCACCTTCCCCTTCGCCATGCTGCTCGTGCTGCTGGTGCGTGGGGTCACTCTGCCCGGCGCCGCTGACGGCATCGCCTTTTACCTCTACCCGGACCTCACGCGGCTCACCGACCCACAGGTGCCCGCTCTGGCCTCTATCATCTAACGCCTCGCACTCGTTGAGCCCGAGGCCCGAAAACGCCCGGCGGCCATCAACAAACAGCACTCAACGTCGCATTGAGAGCAGTGCTGTGGGCAAGCAGCGCCACTGAGAATCGTCCCGTGGCCTGCAGTCTGCCGACTGAACGCCTCGCGGTCTCTCTCGGCACTTGGCACCGCTGCGATGAGAACGCGGGTCCCTGATGCCTCCGCCTGCGTGCGCTCGGCCGCTCCCATGGCTTCTCGTGCGGTGTCACAGCCAGAGAGAGAGAGAGAGCACTTTCCTGCTCGCAGGGACATTGAGGGAGGGTGCTCGTCATCTAATGCACCACCCCTGAGCCAGTGGTGGGAAATTACACGTTAATATGCCGGGGCTGAGCCTGTGGCACGCTACTCATTACATCGACCCCAGAGGAATGATGGCGCTGTGCCTACCCTCAACCAGGATTTGAACTCGCATACTTCGAGGCCACCTGGCAGGACAGCTCCTTGGCCATGTGCTCGTCTGCTAATCTACACAAGGCAGGGCTTAGATTCAGTTGAACGCAGCACTCGCCACGCCCTCATGCTCACACACACACACACCTGTGTGCCTCCCTGAACTTCGTGCCCAGGTGTGGATCGACGCAGGGACACAGATCTTCTTTTCCTACGCCATCTGCATAGGCGCCATGACATCACTGGGCAGCTACAATCACTACAAGTACAACTGCTACAGGTAGCGGCATATGCAACGTTCCCGCCTCCCTAGATACAAGCCACGTGGGAGAATGTCGGTGCTGAGTGGGCTGGGTGTGTGGCGCTTTGGTTATTCTCTCACACGCATACAGCCAGCTCTGTCGTGCAGTTCGAGTAAGGTTGGGTGGATGAAGCGGTGCCCGGTAGCGAGACGAAATTGTTGCGTGCTGCCGTGGCGTGAGTCGAGGGAGCGATGCTGTGTGACAGGGTTCATCGGAGGGGGTGGGGGGGGGAAGTGGGGTCAAGGTTACGTGACAGCACCATCAGGTTTGTTCATTTATTATTATCGAGCGAATGCTTTGCGCAGCGAGGGCACCGGGCACGCAAGGGATAAATAAATAACACACACATGTATGTCGATGTTTCTTGTCAGTGGACGTCAGCCCGACGTAGCCACAGCGCCATGCAACGGTCTCTTGCTCCAGCACGTGCAGGGCAACGATTACAACCAGTACCGCCCTGACGGACTTCAGAGCCGATGTCTGTGCACCACGGTCTCTAGGCACCCCGCATTCACACAGCGGGGCTGTCGCATAGTAGTAGTAGTCGTACGATGCCACATCGGTGTTCGGAAGCGACACTCACAAACACACACCCTGTCCCACGTTACACTGGGAGCGGTCCAACTGAACCCAACCGGCGCCTCGGGAGGTCGGAGCGAGTGGGAAATCCGGACAGACGGATCACCGATGAGGTCCTTGTTAGGCAACATCAACGCATCTCCATTACTAGCCCCAGGCAGTGCGGGTTATCCCGCAAACTCGGAGTCTTTGGGCTCTGGTGGTGTCGGGCGAGCGTGCGATCATCTTCGGTCGGTCACAGGACGAGCTCGGCGCATTCCTTGCCCCAGCCTTATCCGTCTCTTCCCCATCGCAGCCCACAACCGCATCCACAGGCGGCTGCTTCGTTCGTCCAGCGTGGGCTGCTGTTGCTCATTCAGAGGCTCGAGTTAAAGGCGAGACGGCGAGCCGGCGGGCATTCCGCCTTCGCGTCTGCAGCTCCGCGCGCTGTCGGGTGCACTCGCCTCCCCGATCCGCATTCGGCAAGCCCCTTCCACTAATTAGGTGCCATCTAAACACCTGCTTGTTTCTAAACCTGGTTGTTTATTTACATCGGCGCACTTTAATTGAATTGCCCCCGGTCCGGGAGCGCTTGTGTGCCTGGCGGGGTGCAATACTCTTGCTTTGTTTAGATTGTTATCATTTCTGTTCTGTCTTATACAGCCGTTGTCAGATGCAGTTTTGCATGAGCAACGCCGTATACCCATCGTTATTATTATTATTAACTCCACACACGCCCGTGTGATAAAGCGCTTTCTAAATAAAGAAGTAATAATTTTGGCAACGCCGCTGCTGCTTCTTCTTTGCCAACGGTTAATAAATTACAAAACTCAACACATTCGTCAATAACACCGTGGCCTTAAAAATAAAAGTAAGAAACATATAACTGGGTAAGGCCCACTGAGTTAGTTGTGTAGCTCTTTTTCAGAAGCGACCTGGTCACAAATGGTAGGTCAACGAAGTGGCTTGTCACGTGGGCATTCATAGCAGCCAATTATTCAAAACACACGTTTCTAAATGTGGAGGTAAAAACCGTAGGACCCGGAGAAAAATCCGCGTGACCACTAGGAGAGAGAGACACCGCAAACTCCAAATATACAGCAGGCGTCAGGGTCAGGAAAAAACACACGACCTCCTGTATACCAGGCAAGGTAGTTAACTTCTCACCACCGTGGCACGTTTCGGGCAATAACTCTTATCCAGATCCCTTAGAGAGGCCAGAGAGATTGCGTGAATAAGAGATGGAGGCTTCCCTATTCTATTAATTGGACATTTGTTGTGCCATTATTAAAATTATATATATAACAAAATAATAATTGGTTTTACCCTTTCTGACAATACCACAGCAGTTGTGTTAAGATGTTCAAACACCAAATGGAGACACACGCACCGATTTCATAGCATTATCAAGTCTGGATTGACCACCCATGCTTGTGGTCAAACATGCAAACAAAAATGCTCAGATAAATATACGCAGTCTTTGAAACTGATTGGCCTACCTACGTATGGAAGGTTGAACTTCTTCTGCACCGTAGCCAACCGTGCTAATTGGAGGTGCGGTGGAAGCACAACAAACTAAACACAAAAAAAACGAGACAACCTCCTTCATGGCCTTCCCTCTGATAAAAAAAAAAACACAATTGAAAGAATATTTAGAGTCTGAAGTGGCCGTAACAACGGGTAGCCACGATTGGCTTCCGAGCAGGAGATGTACCGTACACGAAAGTTGTGTGCGCACTTATCCGAGAACGGCTGACACATTGCGTCCATGTCGTAGTTTGGCGTTTTTGTCTTTTTTTGGAACGAGCTGTTTGAAGCGCCTAATTATCGACGCATCCTCTCGCGTAAATTCGACGACGGGGGTTAAATGACGAGACACAAAAGGCATGCTCCTGATGCGTTGTTCACGGCGCACTTCAGGCTGCCGGCAAAACTCGATGTTCTCACTGGTGGCCGTTAATGCATTGCAGAGGCCGAGCTGGTAAGATGACCCAGCGAGCTTAATGCGGGTGTCATGCAGAGAGTTCGTGTCTTTGTGATGCGGCAGGGGTTTAATTGGTGGTGGCGGGGGTGGGGTGGGGGGTCTCTGGGGCGGGGGACACGGGGCCGTGTGGGGCGAGCGTCGTCCGCTTGGGTCGTGTTGGAGCGGCCCACGTGGTCGGGTCCAAGGGAGGAGCTGTTGACGCCAGCTGGGTGAACGTTATCCCTCCCTCACTCCACTGCTATCTGGGTGGCATCGACATCGGCGGCCTCTTTGTGGAAGGGGACTCAGGAAAGGATGATACCGGGTAGTCACTGGCAGCCGAATTGCAGGAGCAATGGGTGAAGAGGAGACGCGGTTGATCACAGCACTGAGGAGAGAGTTCGGTGCCTAGAAACACCTCAGTGAGCTGTCACAGGTGGCGGCTCTGCTGCTCTCCCTTGTGTATGAACCCGTGGGCATGTGTATCAAGGTGCACCCAGGATGGTACTATAGGCGAGGTCACTGTCCCTTCATGAGAAGTGTTGGTTGGGGTTCTGTTGGTGGTGGTGTGTGGATGGGACTCGGCCTCAAATGATTACCCTGGTGCGGTGTGTAAAATAATCGCCACGTATCTGTACATGTGCGTGTGTGGGGAGCGGTGGTGTAGTGGTTAGTGCGCTGCGCTACTAATCCGGCGACCATAGTTCGATTCCCACTCACGGCCAACAACCAGTGGCGAATATCTTACATCGCCACGGGCTTCCCGTAGGTCGACTCGGCCTCAAAATGTGTACTTGGTACGAGTGTAAACATTGCCACAAAGGCGGTCGGGCGTGGTGCGAGCCACCCCACCCATTCGTGTATTGTCCGGGCCTTCATAGGCGCTCGCCAACAGCACTTGCCCCAACAGTCTGTTCCAGGCTATACGGGGACAGGGGGTCCTTTGTCTTTGTGAACAGCACCGTCCTCAACAGCGCCCGTGCCGGCTATCAAGGGGATCTCTGTGCCTGTGTGTGCCCGTGTGTGTGCACGGTAGGGACTGCCTCATTCTGGGCTGCCTCAACAGCGGCACGAGCTTCATCTCCGGCTTCGCCATCTTCTCGGTGCTGGGCTTCATGGCGCAGGAGCAAGGCCTCCCCATCGCAGACGTCGCCGAGTCAGGTGCCGACACGGGACACACGGGACACACGGGACACACGGGACACACGGGACGCACGGGACACACGGGACACACGGGACACACAGGACGCACGGCTAAAGTGACGCATGGCCAGATTCACTTGTAATCGCGTAACCACCCGACACAGCCAATTACAGGGACTCTTCTGCTTACGAAGATTCAACTTACGAACTTTCAGAGATACGAACAAACCTGTCCATATGTCCAGTTGCCTGTTCGGGCTGAGAGTCGTAAGTTCAACCGCCACGCAATAGATGGCAGTGGTGGCATCTACATCTGCAGAACATGAAGAACCAGTGGCATCTGCAGAACGTGAAGAGCCAGTGGAATCTACATCTGCAGAACGTCAAGAACCAGTGGCATCTACATCTGCAGAACGTGAAGAACCAGTGGCATCTCAATATGCAGAACATGAAGAACCAGTGGCATCTGCAGAACGTGAAGAACCAGTGGAATCTACATCTGCAGAACCTTAAGAAACAGTGGCATCTACATCTGCAGAACATGAAGAACCAGTGGAATCTACATCTGCAGAACATGAAGAACCAGTGGCATCTACATCTGCAGAACGTGAAAAACCCATGGCATCTACATCTGCAGAACGTGAAAAACCAGTGATATCTACATCTGTAGAACATGAAGAACCAGTAGCATCTACATCTGCAGAACGTGAAAAACCAGTGATATCTACATCTGTAGAACATGAAGAACCAGTGGCATCTACATCTGCAGAACGTGAAAAACCAGTGATATCTACATCTGTAGAACATGAAGAACCAGTGGCATCTACATCTGCAGAACGTGAAGAACCAGTGGCATCTACATCTATGGGAGATTATACAACTTTTTAAGACATTCCCCTATTTAATGCACAAGCCTTACAACACGTTTGGAATCGACAGGAGTGAAGTTGAACTTACGAACAAATCGACTTACGAACAGACCTCTGGAACCTAACTCGTTCAGAAGCAGAGGAGTCCCTGTATAGTAAGGTTTGCCACAGAAACACAAAACGTGCCAATTAGTGTTTCACTCCAACACACGAGCTGTGTATTGGGAGAGTAAACCTCGCAGCGTTTACAATTTGGGCACCGCGACGTTTCCGCTGGTGGTTTACGACGACCGCCTTCATGGTGCGATTTGCCAGAATTGTGTAGAGGCCCTCCTGCAGCTGTTGCTGGGCTGCAGTTCCACGCTGACGGCGTGGAAACGACGACGACGGTGGTGGGTCTGGCAGTGCTGACGTCGATGGCGCTCTCTCTCTCTCTCTCGTGTGCGCAGGACCCGGACTGGCGTTCATCGCCTACCCAAAGGCTGTCTCCATGATGCCTTTCCCCACCTTCTGGGCTGTGCTCTTTTTCGTGATGCTCATCCTCCTCGGCCTCGATAGCCAGGTCAGAGTCCCCGGTCACGGGGTTCCTCGTGCGGCTACAACGACACAATTGGGGGCGGGGGGGGGGGGGGGGGGCTCCGGTTACTTCGTTCGGTGCTTTACATAGCGTGTTTAAAAATTGCTGTTTGTCTTCTGCACGCGTCCACGTGAGGGGCTGGGCTAACGCGTAGCCGTGCATGCCCGTGCGCTCGTAGTTTGTCGAGGTTGAGGGCCAGGTCACGTCACTGGTCGACCTCAATCCGGCGTTCCTCCGCCGGGGCCATCGCCGAGAAATATTCATCGCCCTCATCTGCTTTGCCAGCTTCCTTCTTGGCCTGCCTATGGTCACAGAGGTAAAGGCGCCGGGGGTTTTATAATATCGTTTTGTTGTTGTTGGGTGAGATCGCGTAAATATGAATGTGTTGTTAAACCCGCCACCACCCGACACAGCCAATCCGTAAGGTTTGTCACGTAAACGGAACGTGCCAATTTGTTACTAGTACAGCACACCGGTGTGTTGGAGAGCAAAGCCACAACATTTACAATCTGAGTACTTTCACGTGGAAACGTGAAAGTATTTCTGTGACCAGTTACAAGCTAATCACTCAGCTATTTCAATGCTGAATTCTATGCTAATTCCTTTGTCAAGGGGTGCCTCTGCAGATGTGTATACTTTAACTTAGCTATTTCAATGAGCCATTTCAATGCTAAATTATATGCTAATTCCTTTGTCAAGGCGCTTTGTTTTCTTCTCACACAGCTTAAAGGTCGCGATCTAAGCGTGGCTTTTCTCACTCCAGCGCTGTCCTCCAGACAGTCTCGTCCCTTCACCTGATGAAGGCCGCTTGTGTTGTGGCCGAAACGTCGTGATTTTTTGTTATTTTATTTTCACCTACGTGACTTTACCCAATAGAACCAAAGAGTACTTTCATGTTCATTTGACACCGCACACTCGCTTGCTGCGCACGACCACGGCGTTTCAATAAAGGCGGCACGCCGGGCGCGCTTCTACTCTCACACGCGTCCTTACCGCCCTCGTCCTAGGGGGGCATGTACGTGTTCCAGCTCTTCGATTACTATGCGGCGAGCGGCGTGTGTCTGCTCTGGGTGGCCTTCTTCGAGTGTGCAGCTGTGGCCTGGGTCTACGGTGCGGCTGCCCTCACGCATCACCACGCATTACGCGCACACAACACGCACCACACACACAACACGCACCACACACACAACACGCACCACACACACAATACGCACCACACACACACAACACGCACCACACACACACAACACGCACCACACACACACAACACGCACCACACACACAACACGCACCACACACACAACACGCACCACACACACACAACACGCACCACACACACAACACGCACCACACACACGCAACACGCACCACACACACAACACGCACCACACACACCACCACGCACCACACACACACCACGCACCACACACAACACGCACCACACACACCACGCACCACACACACAACAAGCACCACACACACAACACGCACCACACACACAACACGCACTACACGCACAACACGCACCACTCACACAACACGCACCACACACAACACGCACCACACACACCACGCACCACACACACAACACGTATCACACACAACAACAACAACAACCGCCATTCGCCACTAAGTGGCGGTGACGTCACCACGACGCTTGTGCCAGGCTATGTGCACCCTGAGGCCACGTGAAGTGTCGAACGCCCGCTGGCAGGAGGTCACGGGGCAGACCCAGGTGCCACGGGTCGACTGACTGAGATGACTGGCTGATGCACCACCTGTGCCCCCTACTGTGCCAACCTGCTGTGCTTTAGCCACCCGGCGCTCCGCTCGCTGTTGTGAGCGTCGCTCCTCCGCCCTCCGTTGTTGTTGGAGGGCGACTGCCTCCAACTGCCCAGTAGCATCCTTCACGAGCCTCCTCCACAGAGGCCGATCTTGACACCGCTGGTACCAGTCATCGGCAAGTCCACTCAGCTCCACGTCCTCCTGTACCACATCACTCCATCTCTTCTCTAGCCCGTGCCGCGCCCGCTTAGCCCCCTCAATCCGGCCAAACAAAAGCTGTTTCGGCATGCGGTGGCTGGGCATGCGGGCTACATGACCCAGCCATCGCAGCCTTGCCTGCCGGAGGAGCTCACCGATGGGACCCTGCCCAGATCTTTCAAGGATTTGTGAGCTCCTCACACAATCCAGTCTGGTTAAACCCAGGATGGATCGTAGGCAGGCCAGCCTAAATGTTTCTAACCGGCGAAGATGTTCCATTAGGGGGGTCCACGTTTCGCAAGCGTAGAGAAGGGAGGGAATGACCGTGGCCGAGAAGACCTGAAGCTTAGTGCGGAGCGACAGACCAGGTAGCTTCCACACAGCGTTACGCAACCGATGAAAAGATATTGCCGCTCGACTGATTCGGAGTGAGACCTCTGCTGTTAAACTGGAGCCAGTCATAAGCACACTGCCCAGGTATGAGAAACTCTCCACTCTCTCCACAACTGCCCCATCACCGATTGGGAGTTGTGGGGGTGGAGTGTCCGATGGTACAAAATACCCAGGCAGGTGCTTAGTTTTGGTGGGGCTGATGGTAAGGCCCCACCTCTTAGTGGCACGCTCCAGTCTCAGCAGCAGCGTCTCCAACTCCTCCTCTGACTGAGCAGCTATTACCAAGTCATCAGCATACATAACGTGGTTGAGCAATAGGGAGCCATCCCTTGACCGCACCCGGGCATCGATTAGCCTCCCATTATATCTGTACCATATGGAGATTCCCCCGGTACAGCTATTGAAGGCTTCACGAACTACGTGGTCAAAATAGATGTTAAATAATGTGGGAGCCAGAGGACATCCCTGTCGCACCCCAAGGTGTACAGGGAATGGCTCTGACTCCCGGCCACGTAGTTTTACCCGGGCCCGCTCACCATCATGAAGGTCCTTAATGATCGTGAGCAGAGGGTCAGGTACTCCAAAAGCACGAAGAACGACCCAGAGCCCAGGCCTACTGATGGTATCATAGGCCTTGACCAGGTCAATAAAGCAGAGATGTAGGTCTTGTTGGAATTCCCTACACCTCTGCTGTAGCAGACGGACAGAAAATATGGCATCTGTGCAGGACCGCCCTTTCCTGAAACCGCATTGGGGCTCCGCAAGCCTCTCCTCAGCGTGCCTGGCAAGGCGATGCTGAATAATCCTTGCCAGGACCTTTCCCGGCACACTGAGGAGTGAGATGCCCCTGTAGTTGTTACAGTCTGTGCGGTCCCCCTTCTTAAAAAGGGGGACCACCAGGGCATCCTTCCAATCCTGCGGAACCCGTCCAGTGGTCCAGACTGTTGTTATGATGTCATATAGGGCAGTCTGTGCACAAACGCCACCCTCCCTCAGCATTTCGCTTGGGAGATCATCTCTGCCCGCTGCCTTTCCTGGTCTCAGACTCCGGATCGCCTTCAATACTTCCTCAGCAGATGGCACCTCAGCCAGCCACTCACAGGGGGTGACTTCATCCAATATTTGAGGCACCGCAGCCTCAGCAGGGTCATCCTCACTTTGTGCCACGATGTTTTCCTGGCTGAGGGATTTTCCCTCCCCCAGGACCTCACAGAAATGCTCAGCAAATCTGCGAACCTGTTCCTGGGGGTCGGAAATTGGATCACCGTTTTTTCCCCTAATGATGGTAATAGGTGTGGCGCTGCAGGTTACTTTTTTGATGGAGTTAAATAGAGATTTGTGATCACGGGCCACTGAGGCAGACTCCATCTCCTCAGCAACCCGCGACCACCACCCATCCTTGCAGCGCCTCACGGCTCTCCGAACCTCCGAGCGAAGGCTGCGGTAAGCCTCCTCATTCTCTGACGTGGGATTCTGTAGCCGATGACAGTGGGCCTGTCGCTTTTTCTCAACCATCGTGAACAACTCCTCTGTCATCCAGGGTGTCTGGGGAGGTCTGGACCGCGTACCCAAAGCAGCCATTGCAGCTGCATGAGTCACAGTCCTAAACCTCGCCCATTTACCCTCGACATCAGGAGGAGTCGGGGACGATGCCAATCCCAGCCACAAGCGATGATGAAATTCTCGCTTGCAACTTTCATCAGATAACTGAGACCAGGCCACTTTAGGTTGGAATGGGGTCCTGGGTGTACACCCACCACCGGAGTGGAAGAATGGCAGGCGCATCTTACAGATGACTAGTCGATGGTCAGAGGGCAGATCAGCTCCACGGTAGGTCCTGGTGTCAAGGACATGGGCTCGCATTCGCTGGTCCGTCACTATGTAGTCCAGCAGATGTTCTTGCTTGGACCCGGCATGCATCCATGATGTTGTGTGGATGCGCCGATGCCGGAACAGCGTGTTGGTAATTACAAGCCCATGGGCTGCACAAAAATCTAGCAGCCTCCTACCGTTGTTATTGAGCTGATCTGGCCCATGCCCTCCAATCACTCCAGACCAGGTGCCAGTATCATGACCAACTCGGGCATTGAAGTCACCCAACATGATGACTCTATCCCGAGGGGCCACTTTAGCCAGCACCTGTGACAGGAGGTCATAGAAGGCATCTGACTCATCGGCTTTGCCTGCATCCCTCCACGGATGTTCATCTTCGGTGGGGGCATAAGTAACCACGACCACCATTCCTCGCCTCCGGTTGATGGGAAGGCGAGCCCAAAGTAGCCTGGGGCTTACAGCTTCCCACACCTCACCGCCACGCTCCCACGCCCCCTTCATTCTTTTGTTCAAAAGAAGACCCACACCCTGTTGTTTGGCAGTCTGCTGCCCCGAGTAGAAGACTGTCCACCCCTCATGGTGGCAGGAGCCAGAGCCGGTCCACCGGACCTCCTGAATGCCGCATAGATCCAGGCGGTACCGGTCCAGCTCCCGACAGAGGAGTGGCAGCCTCTCCTCTGCAGTGAGCGTTCGAACATTCCACGTGGCCAACCGTAGTGGCTTTTCGTTGTTTCTGGAGTAGCCCCGAAGGTAGGTATTCAATCTCCTGGCTCCGCCAATTGGGGTTTGGCCAGGAGACGTCATAGACGCCTGGCCCCCCGGGGCCTCCGGCACAAGCTTAGTTGTTATATATTTCAGTTTAATTCGTAGTTTCGTGGTAATTAATTGAAGGTGGAGGGGTTACCAGCCCCTCGCACCCGTCCAGAGCCCCCGTTTAGCCCCTGTGGTGGACACATATGCCATGAGGGGAGGAGCCAATCAAAATTGGATCTCCCCCCACAGCGCTGTCCACGACAGAGTTGCCCGTCCGGCACCGCGAGACACACAACACGTATCACACACACACAACACATATCACACACACAACACACACCACGCACAACACACATACAACACGCACAACACGCACCACACACACAGCACGCGAGTGCGTTCGCACACGTGTCACGCCTGCCTGGCACTGACCACACCAAGACGGAGTGTGTAGAGTTAAGGATGCCCACCCAGCACACGACGGTACCTCTAACACATCACTAAAGTAGTTAGAACTATTTTTTATTATTTTACCAGGTAGGGCCCATTGAGCTATGTAGCTCTTCTTCAGACGCGATGTGGCCACAAATGATATCTCAACAAAGTGGCTTATCACGTGGACAATTATAGCAGCCAAATACTCTAAACGTGTGTTTCTACATGTGGAGGGAAAACCGGAGCACCCGGAGAAATATCCACGCGACCACAGAGAGAGAGACAGCGCCAATTCCCAAAACAGCTGACAACAGGCGGGCAGGGACGGGATCGAACCTACGACCTCCTGGATACCGGGCGAGGTAGTTAACATCTCCTAGCCACGGGGAGAGAGACCCAGACTGTACATATACAGCAGCAGGCATCGTCAGGGTCGGGATCGAACCCACGACCTCCTGTGTACCAGGCGAGGTAGTTAATATCTCCTCGCCAACCGTGGCGATAAAGCGATGGGCAAATGTGCTTCAAATCAACAGCGCAAGAGCGACAGTTTCCCAGAACTCGTTGGCAGACGCTTCTTCGCATCAATGGAGCAGTGCAGTGGCCTCTCAATCGTCGTGATAATGGCAGCCCCTGTCTCCCAGCCCCAAACACACAACTAAGGAGGGTTACTCAGGCTGCACGCCACGCGTGGAGAAAACAAACAATTCCACTCGTCCAACCTTGAGTCAACGCGGCGCTCATTAGGCATTCGAACCAAGCTGTGTATTGGTGTGTGTCTTGCGTAAGCCATCTGCTGCACATTGTGTATCGGTACGGTTTGTGTTGGTAAGGCAAGTGTTTCACATTGTGTAATGTCTTAAGTAAGGCATTTGTTTCACGTGGTCTATCAGTGTGGTTTGTGTAAGGCACGTGTTTAACATTACGTATGAGTGTAACGTCACTTTCCAACTTCGCCGGCGTCACTATCCAACTTTGCCAAATTTTTAATATTATCTGCAGGCTACACATTTGGGATTACACGCAGCAGTAGCAGCAGCATCGCCCCTCCGGTCAGGGCCGGATTACGGTTCTCGTAGGCCCTAGGCACTTCTGTTTCGTCGGCCTTCAGTGATAACTTTCCAACAGTTGGGACTGCCCCATGTCACGAGTGCCGCCGCTGTCACTCCGCTTGTCTCACGCGATACTTCGTCCAGCCGCTGGGGAGATGTGTTCATTGTTCAGTCTGTGCCCTCATTCGATGGGAGCGCGCTGTGTGCCGCAGATAGGCTGATTTAATTTCAAACACTGTGCCCATCCTTGCTACATATATAAATGCATTTATTCAAGAAGATATCTCGGTTACATTTTTTTAAAATCATGCAAACAAAATATCCACGGTCAAATTTTGTTTCCGTTGACCCTTTAGTTTTCGTTTGCCCACGGCACTGTGCCCATTGGATAATAGGGCCCTGCGTCCGGTGAAACGACTGCAGTCCGCGCCTGTGCCACACAGTAGCGCCTTTGCGGCGACGGCACCCGCGCTCGCTATGAGAACAGCGCTAATGCCAAGCGTGTCGTTCATTCCGTCCATGGCGTCGTGGCTCAAGTCGCCTCGGGTGCGCGCGTGCGTCTGCGCGTTGCGAGCAGGTGCCGACCGCTTCTACGACGTGGTGGAGGACATGATCGGGTACCGGCCGAACCCGTGGATGCGCGTCAGCTGGTCCATCATCACGCCCATCCTGTGCGTGGTGAGGTCCCCGAAACGCTCGCTCGCGAGGCCCCAGCGGCTCGTGCCGCACGCCGCCGAGCGCCTCCCGGGCACTCCGGAGGCGAATCGCACACATTCGTGAAAGTCGTCATCTCCTGGCTTGTCCAGGGTATGGCGATGCATCGAGCAGGTTGAAATCCACCGCTGTTGTGTTTGCAATTGGGTGTTACCCCCCCCCCCCCCCGCTCCTCCTTACACGAGTGGGGTTTCTCCGGGTCCTCTGATTTCCTCCGATGCGTTGTCATCGCTCACGACTGAAGTTGGCAACAGAGTTGGGGAAACGCACGATAGAGGACGACAGAGCTTGGGAAATTGTGGGCACAATTCTGGCGACTTCCCCACTTTAGCGCGGTTTCCCGCGTGCCCGTGCGAAATTGGGCGCATTAAAAAAAAATCTGCCTCGTTTTTTAAGTTACAATCGTTTGAGCGGCAACGCTATGTAAGAATGCGGTGTTACCTCATTATTCCCGACGAGGGATACGTGCCTGAGATGCTCGAGAATAGACAATTTCCCGGATTATGATATTGGCTTGCGAAAATTCATTACCTCAAATAAATGTATATATAGGCTATTAAATACAGGCAAATGATCATAATCATATAAAATAAAAATGGGCAAAGAAAATAAATAAATGATTAAATAATAGTTACAAATGAACTTACCATAAATTATGTATGATGCTATGCATCATCACTTTATCTCATCACTTTCTCGCATCGCATTATCTCTCATCACATTATCTCTCATCACTTAATATCTAATCGCTTTAACTCTCACGGCTTCATCTTATCACATCATCTCTCATCACTTTATCTCTCATCACTCTAGATGCGATTCGCGGATCGCATCACTCCAGGTGCGATTCGCGGATCGCCAAAATCGCTGATGTCGAGTTCGCGAACATCGAGGGAACGCTGTAAATCATCGTCGGGTTTCGTTATTTTGCCAGTGGCAGCCGCTACGAGACTGGGCAGGAAGCGTGGGGGAGCAGGAGCAGCCCTCCTCGCCCATCGCGAGTGAGAAGGCGCGGAACCGCGTCGGGGTCGCTCCGCCACTTGTGCTCCCGACAACGTCCACCACACCACACCGCCACGCGTCGAGTTTCACGTTCGCTCGCGGATGCTCGCGTGCCTGGCAGCTTGTGGACGCGGCCGCCGCCGTGGAATTGCGTTGGCTGTAAAAAATAAATATGCGACGATCGAGTTTCACGATCCCCACGCCGGTGAGCCGCCCAGTGCCGAGGGGCGACTTCGCCGGTCCAGACGCAACGGCCGCGCGGATCTCTGTGCGCCGGTGCGGGGGGTCTCACGGCGGTGCGCGCGTGTGTGTGCGCGTGTGTGCGTGTGTGTGCCTGTGTGCGTCCCTGTGTGCGTGCCTGTGTGCGTGCGTGTGTGCGTTGTACGTGCGTGTGTGGGTTAGCAGAAGTGTAGCGCTTAGCGCGCTGAACCCGGTGTCCCCGGTTCCATTCCTGCTCACGACTAACACCAGTGACGATTATCCGAACCGGTCCTGGGCATCCGCTAGGTGGACTCAGACTCAAATGAGTACCTGGTACGGTGTGCAAACATCGCCACTGGGGAGACAAAGCCGGCCGGACGTGGTGTCGGCCACCCAACCCCTCGTGTGCCGAGGGGGGTGTTACTCGCTAACAGCACTTGCCCCAAGGCTGTACGTGGGATCTTTGTATTTTTGTGTGTGCGTGCTCGCACGCGTGTGTGTGTGCGCACTTTCCCCGACAGTCTGTTCAAGGCTACACACGGGGGAATCTTCGTCTTTGCGCGCACGTGTGTAGGCTTGCTTCGTGTTCTCGCTGGTAAAGTACACCCCGCTCACCTACAACAAGACGTACCTGTACCCCGACTGGGCTCAGGGCTTGGGCTGGGCCATGGCCCTCTCGTCCATGCTCTGCATCCCGGGGTTCTTCATTGTGCAGGTCCTGCTCTCCGAGGGCCCTCTCGTAAAGGTCAGAGGCGGTGCACGCTCCGACCCGTGGTGCCCACGGTGGCGCACGCACTCAAACGATAAACGCTCAGCGCCAAGATTTCCATCTTCACGGAATGGTCCAATCGCGTCGCTTTGATGACTAATTCCCCCCTTGTTGGCAATGGAGGCATTAGCCACGTGTGTACCCACACACCATCAGCTGTACCATGTGTACCCACACGTCATGGCGCGTTCCATGTTTACCTACACATCCTGACCTATGCTATGTGTATCCAGACACCATGACCGGTGCCGTGTGTAACCCGCATATCATGGGCCTGTAAACTCGCACCGCATGCATGACGGCGGTGCATATGCCGTTCTCTCTCTCTCTCTATCTCTGTCCGTCATCACGCTGAGCTCGGCGTTACGAATGCGCTGTTCACAGCGGATTAAGCTGCTGATGGTGGCGCGCGTGGAGAAGCGAGGGGGCGATCCCGGAGCGGAGGAGGAGGCGCTCTGTGGGAGCCTGGGACCGCTGAGCAGCCCAGACTCCATGCTTCAGGACAAGGCGGGCATCATGCTCACCGCCCTCTGACCCGCATCTCTCCCAGGGCGCCGGAACACACGCGGTCGTGTGAGAGTCCCTGGGTGGTGATGTGAAGCAGAGGAGGAGGCAATATCTAGTTCTATCCACTCCACACCAACACAAATTCCCAGATGAATACACAGCCATTCCACATCAATTCTCATGTCCCCTTTTACCACTAAACCCTCCACTCCCATCACTTACTCTCCTAAAGCTTCCACTACCATCACTTACTCTCCTCTCCCATCATTTACTCTCCACTCCCATCACTTACTCTCCTCTCCCATCACTTACTCTCCACTACCATCACTTACTCTCCACTACCATCACTTACTCTCCTCTCCCATCACTTACTCTCCACTCCCATCACTTACTCTCCTCTACCATCACTTACTCTCCTCTACCATCACTTACTCTCTACTCCCATCACTTACTCTCCACTCCCATCACTAAACCTTCCACTACCATCACTTACTCTCCACTCCCATCACTTACTCTCCACTCCCATCACTAAACCTTCCACTACCATCACTTACTCTCCAGTTCCATCACTTACTCTCCACTCCCATCACTAAACCTTCCACTACCATCACTTACTTTTCACTTTCATCACTTATTCTCCTCTCCCATCACTTACTCTCCTCTCCCATCACTTACTCTCCACTACCATCACTAAACCTTCCACTACCATCACTTACTCTCCTCTACCATCACTTACTCTCCACTCCCATCACTTACTCTCCACTACTATCACTAAAGCTTCCACTACCATCACTTACTCTCCACTACCATCACTTACTCTCCACTACCATCACTAAACCTTCCACTACCATCACTTACTCTCCTCTTCCATCACTTACTCTCCTCTACCATCACGTACTCTCCACTACCATCACTAAACCTTCCACTACCATCACTTACTCTCCACTACCATCACTAAACCTTCCACTACCATCACTTACTTTGACACTTCTGCGGTATTTGCAACCTAGTTGGTAAACCTCATGAAGGGTATCATTCACATCTCGATTACCATATTTGACCAAAACGTCGTCATCAAAATTGAGCGACTTTGCCCTTCCAATTGGCCGTTCCCGGTTCTCCACAGATTGCCTCAAGGCCATTGTCCAGTTGAGGTCGCATGGCAGCCCGGCCTCTCACGTACCCCTCGCAGATGCGAACTAGCTGGAGGATTGTGCAGCGATTGGAATTTTCGCACCCCCCCCCCCCCCGTATGACCCACGTTGACCTTTCCAACCCTTTGAGAGGCACTGAGCCTGTGGAGGAAGAGGGTTGACTGCCGGTTTGTCACAGAAGAAATGCATTCGCATCTGTCCCGGCGTCACCTTCGTCGGAGAGACGATCGCACGCGCATCTTAATGAAATGCCCTGCAATGCAATGTTTTACGAAGCGACATTTCTTACTTATATATGTTTAGAGTTACAACAAATGCTTAATTTTATATAAAAAAAATCACTTCAAAACATATAATAATCTTACTAAAATAGACAGTTGCAGATGCAACAACAATAACAGCAAAGTAACGACAGCAGTAATAATAACAAAAGCAGAAGAAACTTATGATAAACAGATATAATTCCTGCTGCACCTGAATATCCTGTATTTGTTGGACCACTTGGGACATGTTGAATGAAAGTGCTGCACAGTACACTTAGAAAACTGCACAATTAAGGCAGTGACCCACTTTCTATACCACCCTACTTATACAGAACCACAATCCCCGCGTGACCTATCGACTATCAGGTGGCATTAGAGCAGTGACTAGGTCTAACCCCCTGTAGCCCAGAGGCATACAGCGTTTGTGTGTGTGCAGTGTGCACCTAGCGTGGCATATGTGCTGTGGTGGTGGCGATGCCACCATTACTTAGTGGCAAGATTGGCGGCTGTTGTTGTTGTTGTCAAACAATGTTATTCCAGCCAAAGATGTTACAGAATCGTTGTCTGCCCCTCCGGGCTACGCTAAAGCTTTCCCCCTGCGATTCCGTCCATGGGAAGCGTGAGATCGTCAGCTCCTCACTGCGCCACTCTTAGCCGTGCCCGCTCTGCGTTGTTCGTCGGCAATGGCCGCGGGAATCTGCCGGCTCCCAAGCTGTGCCCAACTGCGTTCACCCCAAGACCGGACCCCGCAAATCCCCAATGACGCGTCTGGCCCGCGACGTTTACTGCTCCAGCGTCTGCGGTTGGGCGATGACATGCGGCCGAGAGAGGAAAGGGCTTGAAAAGGAAGTGGGTCATCTCCGTCAAATATCTGACAAAATCTTCGCCTTTCATCGAGATTTAGAATGATACCCTAACCCTTAACCTTCGCCCCCCAGGTGCACTGCCACGTCACCACGCATGCAGGGCGACTTGCTCTGTGGACGTAACGCAGATTATTTGTCTCTGTTGCTGCTGCAGTGGTGCATAGGCGGTAACTAGTAACACCGCAACTCGACACGTTGGTCAATAACACCGTGGCCTACAAGGGAAACAAATATACAATCGGGGACGTCCCAGGCAATGGTTCCGATTCATAGAGGCAATATATGCGCGCGAATGGCGATCTGCTGATTGTGTGCTGTGAAGAAGGGCCGCTGCTCGAAACGTCGCCTATCATTTCCTTTCAAGGGCGCAGTGTTAATGACAGACCGACAGAGGATGCCCCGTTCTCTCTGATTGGTCCCTTGAGGGACGCTCGACATCCTCGCCCTGCGGGCACACGAGACCATTTCCATTCGCACAATGTCTGTAAGCGCCACCGGAGGTGCTGGTAAAACCTTGGCCCACGATGCTGCCAGCCTCCACGGCGTGCGTAAATTTGTCCCAGAAGCCTGACGGAGCGGGCCCGTCGATTGGATCCGGTGCCATCTCACCACGACCCTCGCTCTCTGCTCCTCTCGCTCCACTCTCTCCTATCTTCTGTACCTGGTGTCCAAACCCCAGGATGGGCTCCATCACTGGGCTAGCGGTCTCGGTGAGGTCATGGGATCAGCGGTCAGAAAGCAATGTTCTATAAACGTAGCTTCGGGAAAAGTGTTGGTTCGTTAAGTTGGCCTATATTTTGTTATTGTTGATAATTAACCGGTATTCTTTGTGGCATTTTTAACCGTGTAGATTTTACACAAACACAGTTTGGTTTTTGATTGAGGATGACTGCCGGGAGCTCGCGGTGAATTTTCCATGGTTTCTGAGGGCTATGGGCCTAGTGTGTGGGGTGACTTGGACCCACTTATAAAGCTTTCGGGACTCGTAGAACTCGGATGGAACCAGCGTGGCCAGGATCTGGCATTAAATGTCCTGTGTAAATGAGGAAGGAGCTTCCAGGCCGCTGAGTCTCCAAACCCAGGAGCTTCCAGGCCCCTGAGTCTCCAGACCCAGGAGCTTCCAGGCCGCTGAGTCTCCAGACCCAGGAGCTTTCAGGCCCCTGAGTCTCCAGACCCAGGAGCTTCCAGGCCCCTGAGTCTCCAGACCCAGGAGCTTCCAGGCCCCTGAGTCTCCAGAGCCAGGAGCTTCCAGGCCCCTGAGTCTCCAGACCCAAGAGCTTCCAGGCCCCTGAGTCTCCAGACCCAGGAGCTTCCAGGCCGCTGAGTCTCCAGACCCATGCCCACCGTGAGCTGGCGTTGCAACCCTCCCATCCCAAGTCTCACATTCCACTGTGTGTAGCCGCTACTGTAGGTGAGGTCTGTAGATGACTGCGTGCATTTCTTTAGCAGTGTTATATTTGTCTAGGTGTTTCAAATTAAAAAAAGTATTTTCTGTGGCAGGTATGTCATTACATAATATGCAAAATGCATACATATTACCTTCATGTTTATATCGTTAGCTTCAGATACAAACAGAAAATCAACCAACAAGACCTTTAGTGACAAGGTACGGGTGCACTCCAGACGGGGTCATTGAGCAACAGCGCATGGGTAGCAGTGGGGCAAAAACGACAGCCCAGATCCACACCGTGAAGGTCCCGCTGAATATCACACACACGGCTCTGCATCAAAAGGCATTCACATGCCACCTTGTAACCCATCGATTCGACGTGACATCTACAGTTCCTGTCGAATGCGAATTTTGTCACTCACCAAGGTGGTTCCGAATCATCACTGTCCACCATCACCATCGTGAACTCGACTCCCCTAGTTACGGCTGCAGCGTTCGCTTGCTCCTTCAGCGTCTTGAAAACTTACAAACTGTGAAGCCTTCCGTCCCACTCAAGTCGCGCGGCGTGTCCCTGTGGGTGGGTTTTTTTGGTTGCACGACCCCCACGTGCTTTAAGTGCGATGCGTGCTAAGTCGTCTCGCAGGGCGTCCCCGTGTGTCCTGGTGTCGTGCTTGTTGGCGAGCTGTGTGGTGCGCGTCGTTAATGGTGGTGTCCGTGTGCGAAATGTGTGTGTGGCCTGGCTTTGTCGCGGGGCATGTGTGACCTGTGGATGGGGTGCACTTTAGTGGCTTTAATGGGGGTATGGTGGGGATTTGGGTGTGTATGAGCTCACGTGTACCGTAGTTATGGCTACCTGAGATGTAATCTACACCAATTGCACTTTGTCCTGGCGTGCTCCTCGATGGGCTTGGCACATCGCTGCAGTTTGAGCTGCAGCTTCATGTCGGTGTGGGTGTCAAGCAGCGTGGACACGAGCAATGCAAATGAGCCAAACGAAGAAAGAAAGAAACAGATCAGACATTCTGGGGACACAAAAAAAACAAACTATTCAATCGATGACAATGCAATTATAAAAGAAACAAATATTTTACTATGATATTTTCTTAATTTAAATAAAATGTCAATTCTAAATTCACGTTGATTTCAAAACCGTTTGTGCGTGGACTTTCTTCTGCGCGAGGCAACCGGGGTTTGCTGTGAGCCAAATCAGGGCCCCGGAAGGTGAAGGTCGATCCCCATTAGACTCCCCTCCCTCCCTCCCTCCCCCCCCCCTCCCTCCCTCCCTCATTTTGTGATTTGTTTGCTTTTGTGCCCCTTTTTTAAATCAAAGATATCACACGGTTTTCCCGTGTAACGCGAATCCCATTGTGTGCTACTGTGTTCATAGACATCAACAAGAATATTTTACCTTCTAAAACCCATTACCAGATCCCCTGCATTCGTCACATTACACAAAGCACCATCGGTAGTCCAACATGTCAAGAAAGATGCGACTGAGCGTACCGAAATTCCAGCCAAATTCTGGCAGAAACCAGCGCCTTCGAGATGCGGCAGTGGCTGGATAGGCCGCTTCCTTCAATTGCGCATTTTCTGGCCCTATAGATAGCCAGTTTGCCATTTTCTGGCCCTCTATATCTTTGGTACCCTCGTTCCCCCTATATCCAAAAAAAGAATCCCTCCCTCCTTCTCCGCCTCCTTCACTCCCCCCGTGTCAGCTCGAAGTCAGATCTGATGTCGGCAGCGGCGTACTCATCCATCCTTACCCCTATTGCCGGCCAACCTGAAGGAATTGTCTCTGTTGCTTTTGTATAACATCTCCAGGTGAGGTGACACTTCCTGCGGGTAATTGCAAGAGTTGCAACCATGCGCCCGGGTGTCAGTGGCCGGACACGCATTGTCCAGCACTGGTGGAAGAGACGGGGAGGGCCGGTGGATGGCACGAATGTTCTAGATTTGAAGCTTTCGTGACTTCAAGGATCCATACTCTTTGGTTCTATTCGGTAAAGTCACGTAGGTAAAAAATAAAACAACAAAAATCACGACGTTTCGGCCACAACACAAGTAGCCTTCTTCAGGTGAAGGAACAGAACTGTCGGGACGACAGAGCTTAAAATGAACGCTGCTAAGATTCGTAACGTCTTTTAAGCTGGGTGAGAGAAGTGAGGCACCTTGACAAAGGAGTTTACTTATCAAACAGGAGAATTTAGCATTGAAATAGCTGAGGGATTAGCTTGTGACTGGTCACAGAAATAGTCATGTTAAAATCAAAGTTTACACATCCACAGAGGCACCTAGTACATGGATGCCAAAGGGGCTGCACTACCCAACTATCATACAGTAAACCGATGTGAAAAAACTAAGTCTAAATTACATCAATATAATAAATGTACTCAATATATTCTTCAATAAGCTGAGCTATTAACAGCAACTGGGTATACACTTCGATTGTGTGAAAAGGGAATTTTCAGAGCTGCGAAATTTTGGGGTACCACTACTTGAAAAAATATACTGTACCATTGAAAATAAGTTTAATGTTTGGTTCGATTTAGAACATCTTTCCAATGGTTGCTTAATTTGAAACCATCTTCTCGGTTGAAATTGTGTCTGTGTTTGTAAATCTGAATTGCCTCGTGAACAAATCTCTGATAAAAACCCGTGGGTTTGCAAAGAACCTTGGTATCGGAGAAAATTATATCGTGATCACCCACAGCGTTGTAACAGTGATCAGCTACGGCAGAAGAATTCGTTCTGCCGTGTTTCAAATCTGATTTGTGCTCGCGAATTCGGTCAGAGACATGTCGCTTCATCTCCCCGATATAGCAATCACCGCAGGTACAATTCAATTTGTAAACCCCGGGGTACTGTAATAAGACTACTCCGTTTTGAACTCGATACTTTAGACAGGACTCTCCTACAAGCTTATAACGTTAACACAAAAAATGTCACCTTCTGATTGGAACCACGTAGACAACATGACTGCTTCTTCTGCCGATTCACTTTCAATCAAATGCAAAGCTAACCTAATTGCTAAATTCAACCACCTATCAAAGAAAAACCCGGTTCCACAGATCACAAAACTAGACGTTAACAAAATTGTTATCAATCAGAGTAGCACCCCGATTTCGGACAATCTGAAAACAGTATTGGCTAAAGGACTAAATTTCGCTGTCACCCAAAAACATATACCGATAGATGATATCATTTCTCAGGTCGATGTAGCCCTCAAAGAAATAGGACACATCCAAGCAGACGTCGCGAGAGCTGAAATAGCTACCATTCTTAAGAATTCTAAAAAACCCGTTAGCAACATCAGCAAAGATGAACGCTCTGAACTCGCGAAATTAAAAGAGAGACATGATATAGTCATCCTCTCAGCCGACAAGGGCAATGCCACTGTAATTATGGATAAAAACTCATAAAACAATAAAATTCAGGACCTACTCAATGATGGTAGTTACTCAAAAATTATAAATGACCCTACTAATAGCCTAACTATAAAAACCAACAAGATCATCACAAGTTCGACCTCCCTAATCGAACCAACTAAACGTCCCTCCCTAAAACCTTGTGTTGCAAGACCCCTTAGATTCTATGATCTTCCGAAGATTCATAAAGAAGGCACTCCACTACGACCCATCGTATCCACGATCAACTCCCCTACCTATAAGCTAGCACGTTTTCTGTCGGATACCTTGCTACCTTTCACTGGCAAGCCTTCCTCAGCAGTACTTAACTCAGCCCAATTGGTTTCTATGGTCAAAGACGTTGTACTGTCCCCTGACGATATCCTTGTCAGCTTCGATGTGGTCTCCTTGTTCACCAAGGTACCGGTACCTGATACCATTGAAATAATTGAAAATTTGGTACAACATGGACTAAACCCCGAGGTACCTACGCTGGTCAGGCACTGCCTCACCAACACCTACTTTACTTGGAATGGTTCCTTCTACAAGCAAAATGAGGGTACTCCCATGGGTTCCCCCTTGTCACCAGTGATAGCCAATGTTTTCATGGAGAAATTTGAATCAGACGGCATCCAGACTTCCACCCTCAGACCTTCCCTGTGGAAGATATATGTGGATGACACTTTCGTCATTTGGCCACATGGCCTCCCAGCTCTGAACCTTTTCCTACACTACATGAATTCCAGACATCCCGCCATCAAATTCACCATGGAAGTGGAGAAAGATGGCAAGCTACCATTCTTGGATGTTCTGTTTGAGAGGAGACTTGATGGCTCATTGGGGCATTCTGTCTACAGGAAACCCACCCACACAGATTCATACTTGAAACCTGATTCCCACCACCACCCAGCTCAAAAGAATTCTCTCATCAAAACTTTATACCATAGGGCTCATTGCAATTCGGACCAACACCACCTGACCAGTAAATTAAAACATGTACACCTGGCCCTCAAAAGGAATGGATACTCTGACCGTACCATCCGCCAAGCTGTTTCTCCCTCCATACAGAAACAACCACTTGATACTCCGGTCAAAACCATCACACTACCATATATGGCAGGCGTTACTAAAAAGATTTCCAAAATTCTAAACAAACACAAGATCCAGGTCCGGTTCAATACAGTACACAAAATTCGTGATCTGATCCCATCCGTGAAGGATGTCATTCCTGACTTACAGTACCCCGGGGTTTACAAATTGAGTTGTACCTGCGGTGATTGCTATATCGGGGAGATGAAGCGACATGTCTCTGACCGAATTCGCGAGCACAAATCAGATTTGAAACACGGCAGAACGAATTCTTCTGCCGTAGCTGATCACTGTTACAACGCTGTGGGTGATCACGATATAATTTTCTCCGATACCAAGGTTCTTTGCAAACCCACGGGTTTTTATCAGAGATTTGTTCACGAGGCAATTCAGATTTACAAACACAGACACAATTTCAACCGAAAAGATGGTTTCAAATTAAGCAACCATTGGAAAGATGTTCTAAATCGAACCAAACATTAAACTAATTTTGAATGGTACAGTATATTTTTTAAATTAGTGGTACCCCAAACTTTCGCAGCTCTTAAAATTCCCTTTTCACACCATCGAAGTGTATACCCAGTTGCTGTTAATAGCTCAGTTTATTGAAGAATATATTGAGTACATTTATTATATTGATGTAATTTAGACTTAGTTTTTTCACATCGGTTTACTGTATGATAGTTGGGTAGTGCAGCCCCTTTGGCATCCATGTACTAGGTGCCTCTGTGGATGTGTAAACTTTGACTTTAACATGGCTATTTCTGCGACCAGTCACAAGCTAATCCCTCAGCTATTTCAATGCTAAATTCTCCTGTTTGATATGTAAACTCCTTTGTCAAGGTGCCTCACTTCTCTCACCCAGCTTAAAAGACGCTATGAATCTTAGCAGCGTTCATTGAAGCTCTGTCATCCCGACAGTTCTGTTCCTTCACCTGAAGAAGGCTACTTGTGTTGTGGCTGAAACGTCGTGATTTTTGTTGTTTTATTTTTTACCTACGTGACTTTACCGAATAGAACCAAAGAATATGGCACGAATGTTGTGAAACGTTTAACACGTAGGCTTTCGCGACCAATATCATCCATAATAGAGGCTTTTTGGGTTAGATCCCGTAAATATATAAATGTCGTTAAAACCCGCCGCCACCCAACACAGCCAACTAGTAAGGGTTGTCACGTAAACAGAAGGTGGCCAATTCGTCACTAGTACAGCACACCAGTGTGTTGGAGAGCCAAGCCACAACATTTACAATCTGAGTACGACGTTTCGCCAGGAATTACAACTAGCTTTATAGATTTGTGGAAAAGTCTTACTGTTTCGTTCCTTATATAGAGGCGTAGAAGTGTTGACCACCCTTCTGCGCTCTTGTACAATGATGGGGGCGGGATTACTGCGGCAACGTACATTATCCATGTGCATTATGCAAGCCCTTTGAACCTGTCCTTCCTGTCTATTGTGTTTTTTTTTTTTTTAAATAGCCCTACCAACGGTAATCCCTATTGCAGTGCGCTGCCGTTTGTAGGCGTAAATATGAATGTGTCGTTAAATCCGCCGCCACCACCCGACACGGCCAATCAGTAAGGATTATCACGTAAACAGAACATGCCAATTCGTTACGAGTGTAGTAAGTCCCACGGAGACACACATTTGACTTT